GATCTGTCATAGTAATTCAGGTATTTTAATTTCCTGCCGGTCTAAAATTGGTAAGAGCTAGTCCTAATTAGGCTATAAAACCATTAAAATCAGGCATCCGGCTGTTGGCCGCTATACACCTTCGTACTAGTGCTACTCATGAAAAGGTCAAAGCACGACAAACATACGTACCATACGATCCAAGCGTGGGGTGTGTATTCTCGATCTGGAAATTTCGATGCAACTCCCGATTTGGAGTTACTATGTTGTACCGAAATTACAATTCCCAGGGACGACTCCCGGCCCCGTCCGCCACCTGGGCTATTGGTTGGCTGACAGGAACCGGACGAGAGATGACCCATCCAATCAGTGATGTTATGTCGACCCGAAACAGCGGTCCAGGCGATCTTCCCTGCCAAAACTAGGTATGACCTCACCAGCCGTGGGATAGTTACCAGGTTCCTGGGAACCGGGGAAGGGGGTAGTATTTTGTTTACCTTTTTATGGCTTGGGATGGGAAAGCCACAGTGCGTGTTCCACTGGGTTGGTGTGGAATCACTTGTGGACCGTGAGGCGTTAGTCTGTTTCTTTTTTGATTGCATGGCCCACTTTGGAAGGGGGGAAGGTGGTGGCTATGTAAGCGTTAGATATTTCTCATTCTCGGTTAAGGTGGCAACTTTCAGTACCGAGTGCTGGTCACCAAATGTGGTTGTAGTCTTCCAAGGTACCAGAGGTTGAGTGGCTGCTGCAGCTTTGCTGGTGTAGTTGTTAAAGAGTTTAACAACTCAGACACCTAGTGTTCAAGGTAGGACAAAGTACGACTCCTACATGGAAGATCAAATTGAGGTAGCAAGGTCATCGTATTCTAGCACTTGCATCCGAGTGGCTGACTTGCAGTCCCATCCTCAGTAGTCCCTCAGGAGACTATCTATATCGAATGATATATGCATAAGACATAAGACATGGGTAGAGATAGACATCACAGAAAAAGTCAAAACGCTCAAGACCGGTACAGACCAGCAACCAACAAAAAGAAAAGAAAAAAGAAAAAGATAAAAATGGCTAATATCAAACGAGAAGACCTGGAAATAAAAGAGGTAAACAGGGTATCAACGTCGTATGCTCGGCCCTCGACCAGATCGAAATGATAACCATAAAAGACAAATATATCAAGAGTTCCATAGCCCATCGACTCATATACCGTCGTAGTGGGTAAGCAACGCTAAGCTTCAACACAACGATGTCAAAAACAAAAAAACATAATATAACAGGGTATCGTTGCTCGGAGACTCGTTTATTATCCCCGTGTTCAGCGCCCAGAAGAAAAAAAGTACCGACCCATTAGAGAAGATGAAAACACGAAACGACAAAGATGAGTGCAAGAATGCACTCAATGTGGAAAGTTCGTGCGGCAGACCAGAGTGAAGAGACCACAGTGGCTAGCGAGGTGAGATGTGAAAAGAAGATTTTACTTTTGCATCATATTCGAGTTTGAGATGCCGGGGCATGTGCTTGAGATGTAGGGGACGCAGTTTTAATAAGTTAAGTTGATCTCCATAGGAGATTCGGGTGTGCCAGAAACACCGCCGGGTGCTTCGGATATGTCGACGATCATGTCTTGACCCTCTGGAAGCTGGCGGACCACATCGTCATCAACTATAACTCGCAGGCCTTTCTCATGGGCATGCATGATATTTGAGATCCGCATCGGATCGATGTGATATTTCTCGGTGATTTGCTTCACGAGGTCTCGAACGGTGCGTTCTGTCAAATAGATTGCACGGTAGTAATCCTCTGAGCGCGTCACATTTCCAGTGAATCGAACATAGAAGCATGCAACTGCGAAGAAAATTAGCAAAAATATTGACGGGTTGCGCGCGAGAAACTCACTTGGCTTGAGAGGGTGTTCCGACGGAGGTCGGTAGGTCAAGTCTACACCGATGGCCTCTATGAAACCCCTTGAGATTTGGTCGCCGGAAGGAACCCTCTGGATAGTGGTGGGGCATTTTCCTAATCTGAGTGCGTGGGTAGGCGGCGAATTCGAAGAAGAGGTATTGGTGTTCGGTGGCGAAGGCATGATAGACTCTAATTCACGTGTGCTTGAACGACTTGTATTCCCATACTGAGAGGAATCGCTATCACCTGATAACTGGATCGGATATAGGTCCGGATCGTCGAAGTTGTCACCGCGTAAACCGAAAACGCTCACTGAGCGAGTAGATGAGAACATCTCTTGCATCGTAGACAACTTGGCTTGAAGGTCGTCCTCTAAGGAAACTTTCTCTGAAGTATTTTCCGAGTCCATCGACCAAGTTCGCTTGTGGCCCGAAGGCTTCAATGAATTATCCGATCCCTTGGAGGTGCCCGAGAAATTACTTCCCCGTTTGCGCTTCGAAAATCCACCACCCATTTCTGCCTGGGAGACTTGCTGTTTAAGCTTATCAATGGTCTTCTTAACATGCGCGACGTCGTTCGACAGCTTCCGCTCCGCACCATGATCCCGGAAAAGTTTGACTTTGCAGTAAGACAGCTCTGGATCGTGCGAGAGACCGGTCTCCTCGTCCGGGGACAACAGCTCGGTTTTAGCGCACAGTCTAACAGGAATTCCCTTGACGCCTTTTGAGTGGCTGAAATCTGTGGAAAGGAAATTGAACCGCACGGGAATATTGCAATCTGATATGCCGGTCGCTGGGTTGGCAGTCCAAGTGACGCAGAAGCCGTCAACTGACATACTCTCGACTTGAACCTGTCGATTCCTGTGTGCGTCACTGCCCCCTTGTAATGGATCCACGTATTCAACTGCCAATAATTTCCCGCCCCGTTGATGGGCTTCTGTGGTACCACGGCCTTCCTTCCATAGTTGCCAACATGCTGACGGTCTCGCCCGTTGTTCTCGCTCTTCGAAGGAAATTCGGATGAATGTTCTGTATCGGACCGGTTCGTGGCTGAGCATTGGTGGGCTTGTATCGACAACTGAGAGATTGTAGGCTTGGCCTTTATTGAGATAGGTCACGGGAATTTCACTTAGAGTCTTCACCATGGCGGTCGGTGCTCGTAGAGAAACATTGAAGCGGAATCTATGAGTGCGAACCTGGTTAGGATTGAACGGACATTTACTATTTGGATCATTAAACTCACTTTTCGCCCTTGGCATATGACATGTCACCAGCCAATTGAGAGGAAAATTCCGTAGAGGCGGTTACATTGGATGCTGTTTCAACACGTACATCATTTAAAGAAGAGTCATCGAGAGTATCATCCATGACATCATATCCGGTGTCGCGGTGCATGAATGCGCTTGGCGCATATGATGGCTGTGTGTACGGGTTCATGCCATGCACTGAATTCATGAACTGCGGATGGAAGGGCTCGAAGCCAGTGCTGTGGTGATTGTGTACAGCCGGCATGCCCGCCAACGGGGTCATCAAGTGCATCCCCGTTGGGGTATGCAAATCGCCCGCCTGATTATGGAACATGGCACCCATTCCAGAAGAGGTTGGAGTATAAAAGCCCGAATGCGGGTTGGCAAGAGGCATCATTGAATAGGAAGCGGATTCCATCCATGAGGGCGTCAAGCCCAGTTCATGCATATTTCGGGGAGTGCGGTCGTTGTTAGTGATGGGAAGCTTGACATCATGACCCTCCATTTTCACATCGTTATTCTCGGCCAGTCTATGCAAGAATGTCAGTTTCTGACCTCGGACATTTTACCTGGTAGAATATAATGTACATACCCTGCTATCAAAGGTTCACCTGCCCTCACATTGCGCGGACTCGTGCTGTCCCGCCGAGGGACAATGTCTGAGAATGTCTGCTGGAAGCGACTGATGAACTCACCATCCGGCTTCTGGGTGTTGTTCCTGTTGCGCGAACTTGAACGTTAGAACAGACCATTATACGATTGACCAAGTTAAGCGGCGACAAACTCACCGGTTGGTGAACATTATTTAATTTATCAATGCTTCGCCTGGCTTGGATAGTGAAGGCAAGAAACAGATTATGGCCACCCGTAAATTGTGGCCTGCCAGTATGGTTGTGCTCAGCTGGTCTTCGGTTTCACGACGTGGATTGATCGAGTTCGGAAAGCGTTCGGATGAGGTCGTACGTCGTGGATAATTCGAGGTAATTCGAGGTAATTCGAGATTGTGCGAAGTGCAACAAGGGGTTCTAGGGAATTTTCTCTGATGTGAATGTGAAAAGACTAGATGGGTGTGGAAATGAAATACGCCAGAAACGGAAGATCGCGGGACTAGATCAAAAGGGTGAAGGCAGATAGAGTGTAGGCCGATCCAAACCAATTTTGGAATGGACTATGTTCCTTCTTATAGGAGATTGGAGGAAATGATGTATTATTGGAGAGACGAGGGGTGGAAGGAGGGGATAATGCTCTAAGGGAGGGGATGATGGGGAAAGGAAGAGTAAAGATGGTACGGTCAATGAGGCCCTCCAATGACAGATGTATAAGAGATCCCACCAAACTGTCATCCACTGAGCCACAGTGGACTTAACACAAAGGAGAAACCATTGGATGTGCTCGGAAGATTTTAGGAGAGAGAGAGGAAAGCTGTCGCCACCTGGGAGAAACTGATAAGACCAGGGGGCCACTTCTGGTAAGAGGCTTTTTTATTTTATTTTATTTTTCTTCTCTTTTTTTTTTTGAAATCTCCTGGAAGAGTCGAACTGCTAAAGAAATTGGACAATATATTTGTTCGAATAAAATGATTGGTCGAGCGAAATACATTATGGAGACCTTTGGCAGTTACCGGAGAGCCGTGCGGACATAGTGGGGAAAACGACATTGGAGCGAGACCGAAGTGCAAATTTACGTATTGTACGGGTGTGTATTATATTTCGAGTACTCCGTATGACAATATATATCACTAGGTACGGAGTAGGTAGATTCAACGTACGGAGTATGGAGTTATTATATATATACTAGTTATATACAGAGCATCTGTTCTCCTTTCTATTCTAACATGGATATTTCAGATTCATACGGTTGTCTATACGGAGTACTATATGAGACATAGCCCCTTCCTAATATATAACCCCCGTGTTCAGCATACATATATTAGCAACACGTAGTATGGAGGTCCTTGTAAGACGATTCAGATCCACGGATACTCTAGGGAGGGAACCCTAGAAGTATCTCCCGTTCTTATTAGGTAATGTAACTTGCTTGGATGGCAAATAAGTATGTTGTTGTGGTAGCAGTAAAATAGAGTTATGCATACCATTCAGGTCATACGTACTTTGGTCCTTTGGTAAAATCTTATAACCGTCATTCATCTAACACTACAGCCACATCTATCCAATCTGAATCTTGACCTCATACCAGCATACAACATACAAAGTACATCAGCCGCGAACGAGGAATGTGGAACTATTAATCTCTAGCGGTTAACTATGATAGGTGGCCGGCCCGACCGGATCTACACTCAAACTGATATTGTTCGGTTGATATACATTTTTCCACCGGAATCAACTGACTGGGCCCGGAGATCTATCAATCCAATCTCCTGGTGCTTCCCAAAAAATCCCAAAAAAATATTGCTGATGATTTCATCGGTCTCCCGCGGCTCATAGACACGGGTCCGTTGACGAGGGACTCTGCACACCGTGCGCCAGAACGATAGCGACCATGTCAACTATATATTCCAAGTTTAAACCCATTTCCATGCCAACATGGTTCATCATGGCCAAGGTAGCTGGTTGATCCATACATACTGAGGTGGTATGGAATGTAAAGTCTGGTGTGGGGTTGCATACAGCCACATACCACGTCAAAACAATACTAGTCCATACATGCCATTGCTGGAAAGCCTACCCACCTGTAATATGGCTCGATTCGCACTTGAATGATCAGTGGAGCACGTGCTGTAAGTATATTTACCATGTGCATTAAGAACAACGTCCACCGTTACCCGTATGTACCCTGTACCTTACTCGAGCTCTCAATTTAAGTTATTGAAGCTAAAGCACGGAATCCGTGCATCCGTTTCTAAAAGTAGTAAAGTACTAGTCTGACGTATGAGGCTAGTGAGCGTTCAAGACAACACAAACAGCGTAAGTACTCGAACGCCTTATCCACTTAAATCACCCCAAGATCAGATTGACTAGCATAAAGCCACGCCGTCATAAGGGGATGTTTTTGGTGATATATGCAACAGGGGGGGAAATGGACGGGCTAGACGCTGCGTTGGACATCCACAGTTGAGAAAAAAAAAGAAATTCAGAAAATACCGTCTGGAGTGCGAATTTGTGTGTCTTCATCATTTCACTGGAATCAATCGGAAACAATAGCTGGATAGAGCATACAGTCGATTATTGGCTGATCTGGCCTCGGAGTACTCCGTACGTTATGCAATTTAATCTGTAAATTCCATGGGGCTTTAGCGATTGCATCCTTCACATAGATACTCCGTAAGTAATCGAGCTTCTCTGTAAAGGAAGTAGGAGCGGTTGGCCAAGCGCGGGTTCTAGCTCGGGAGACACTCGAGTCCACGGATAAAAATTCTAGTTACCTAATTAGTACTTATGTTGACTTATGTAGCACATATGATCATCTCCACCGCGCTCGTATTCTGGCGTTAGGACTCTAGCCTCTATTTCACGTTGGCATCTCAGGTCTGACCCGAGTTTTTTACGAGTCTCGCCGAGCTGTTGGCCCCGCACAGTGCGAAAGGTGTACAAAGCTCTGTACCCTAATCCCGCATTTGTGGCTTCGGGTCCACCGTGAGTAACTAATACTCACCAATAAGTAATAGTTCTATAAAAATAAACAGCTTCGACGGAGGACTACCAGTCTCTCAGCCGGAAGAATAGTTTTCCGGGGGATGGATCGGTAGGCTTGGCAGCTCGGGCTCGGAGCTGCCATTATTGAAATTCGCCGTATAAAATACAGTATTGTATATGCGGGTGATCTGCTCTAAATAGGGAAATTCATTCTCGGGCTGTCGATGTTCTGGTGAGAGGTCGTCCAGGGAGAGTGTGCATGTGCAGAGCAGTGTATCAAGCTCCCCTAACCGACCCGCCCATGGCCCCCCCCCCCCTCCCCCCTGCAAAACCCACACGCCTAGCGCAAAAGGGCAACCAAGAGAAAAACCCAAAGCCACATAATATATAGGAAAATCGGAAATCGGGGATCGGCAATGGGGAGAGGGGCCGATCTACCCTGGCTTGCAGTGGATTTACTAGCAAACAGCCAGTCAGGCCAACAAACGGTCTGGCCACCTTGAGCTCAGGCACCCCGAGCTCTGGAAAGAAAATGACGGCACAGCTTACGCAGCTTCGTTTCCGCCACGAGCATTTCCCCATTCTCGAGGGGAGGTACATGTACACGGGGGTTCCCACCCCGGTTCAGCGTCGGCACGAATGGGATGCGCGTAAATATAGACGTTGTGCATATGGCACTCTGAATGGGGATGTGTCAAAAAATCCAAAGCACAGGGCCAAAGCTCGTTGATTGGCTGGGGAGCTGTATTTAGAAAACGTGGATATCTACTTTGTGACGAGTTTCCGGCCTTATGATTGGCACGTTTATATTCTCCGGAAACTAGATACAAAGTTCGCACGCGGTATAGCGGGGTCGGCGGGTGTTCACACAACTACTCAGCTAGGCAAAATATTATTCTTTCTATCCATAGACGAACATCCTTCGGCCTAGGGCTTCATTCAGTATCCCTTTAATAATATATATACCGACATGAAACAGCCAATTTTACAGATGGGGCCACACAATAATATTCATATCATGATATATGGTGAGCATGTTGCGTTGAAAGGTCTAGTCTCCCTTCCGCCATATCTTACATACCCACGAACGTGTCAAACGTTTCCCGGCGCCGACAATCGGCGTGAGGTTCCGATATACCTAGGTAGTCCCTGTCTCTCTCTCGGGAGATTGGTGATCTGATGGCTAGATGGCTATATGTTCCTTGTGCCGTCTCTCGTTCCACTCCACAACAACGGGGATCAACGGGGAGAACGACCCTCCCCGGATTGGCTGGCCAATGCTTCTGTCTAGGAATGAATATGCACCGAAGATCATAATAAGCTACATCGAATGTAGATCGTATGATCCTTCTAGGGCTGTGGATTTAACCACAGAGACTTCGCCCACAGTGGCATGAATCATAGATATTGGGATTGTGAGGGGTCATTTGAGTTCGTAATTGTGAACATGACTTAGTACTATGCTTCCATGCGGGTGTAGTAGGGTTCCGGTCAATGACCCCGGTGTTCCTCTTTTTTTTTTTGTCTCTTTCGAGTTGTTGTCAGGAGATAAGTTTGGACAGATGTATGAGGACCGCCCGTGAGAATTCGGAATCTACCCTGTGGATATTTACCAGCGTCTTAATTACAAAGTGTAGGATTACTCTGGATCATTCTCGAACATTGACGGTGGTTTCATGACATTACTCTATATGAACTATCCAACCAATATGAATGATGCCCCTTTACAAAATGATTCAGTGGTGCTGTGTGTGGCCATCGGTATGCTCGATGATTACCAATAAGTGTAGTCCATGCACCCGGGACTAACGTCGAAGAAAATATCAGCATGCATACATGCGACCCTAACACGCCGATGACGCCGATGTGTGACAGAAAATGAAATAGAAGAAAACATATAGACACAAACAAAATCCGACGGAACCTCGTGTATATAGTAGCCAAGGGCCAGTTGCGGAACGCGGAATTGTCTGTTCCCAGAGGGATGAAAAGAGGGTAAAAGATGCAAGAAAAGGCAAGGCTTAGTAGTTGTAGGAGATGGACGAGGAGGATGCCCTGCAGTCATTCGCAGTCCACCATGCTGTACGATGGTTCACCGGGATTTGGCTAGCTTCGAGGCATGAGGACCTCTCAGAGACGGAGGAAAGAAAAGTTGGACAATTGCTATCAGTGCTGGATGATCAATGAGAATCCATCAATCCATGATGCG